CCTGCTGACACAATGATTTAAATTGATTAAAAAGTCTTCTCAATTATTTTCCAAAATGTATAAATATCAAACCAGTTGTCTAATCCTAACTAACTATAATGAACCTTTCAAATAACTGGGTCTATTTAGAACTGCAGATGTAGGGTCCGTAAGAGCACTTTCCAGTGACATCGAATGCAAGTTCATGTACCCACAGAACTGTACTCCCAGTATGGACTATTTCACTTTGCTAGCAAGTTTTTAGAACTCAGCTTCTGTCCCAGAAAGGTCTTCAGAAGGATGAACACTGAATAAGTGATACATATGTTAAAATAAATCTCTGCTAATTTTTCATCCCAGTCCAAAAACCAGAAGATACCTTTGTCAAGAACAAATTAAAACAGAGGCAAAATTGAAATCTAATTTAATACGGGTTGGCTAATTGATTTGTTTGGGTTTTTTTGCTTTTAGCTATGTGTTAAATGGGAATTTTTAAAAAAAAAGTTCCCCTTGTTTATTATGAACTCCAGGTCATAATGACTGTGATTCTCCACATATTTTTTGTAGGTGGGTAATTTTCAGTACCTAAATATCCCCGACTAAAGCAATCCTGCATATTTTTAAATATATTCAGGTTTTAACACACAGCACGCAACACTAGGTCTTTAAAATACCCATGCAAAACACTACACATACATATAGATAATGTCCCGAGGATTGCAGAGGGGAACCCCTCTGCAGCAATCTGCATGCTGTCAGTTGCACAGCTGAGACAAACGAAGGAAGACAGAACCTGAGCCAAAACATTCTTCTTTAAAAATGCATCATGTAAACTAGAAATAATGAAGCAATGTTTTCCCTCTTATCTGCACACCCCTGTTTGGGGTAGGAAAAAATTATTTTGCTGGGACTGGGAGACCATCATAGTTCTATAAGAATAAGATTTGCTCCACCATTGCCATCCAGAGCTGGGCTGCCTGTTCCTCAGAACTTTCTGGGTGTTTGTGCCATGACAGCACAGAGCCTGTTGGGAAGAAATAGCTGTCATGTCTGGGCTGCAAATGCTGAAGGGAAATACTTGGATTTAAACTATGAATTAAAGAGCATCTAGGCTCTGTAAATACACTGTGACACGTGATCACGGATTATTTGGTTCAATAAAGACCATCAACAATGCACACGTGTCAATTTCTAAAAGTGTATAAATAAATAAAAAAAAAGAAAACAACGGTGCTTTGCCGGGGTTGCTTGGGAGACATTTTTACAGGGGGCTTTTAAATGACAAGATCTGCACGAGATCTAAATGCATAATTTCTCTACACTAATTAAACGTTTTGAGACAAAAGTAATCTAAGAAAATCTCTTGTCCACACATGAAATGTTAAGTTTTGCCCCTCATCAGGGGCTTGATATCTAATTCAAAGCCCATTCAAACTCTACTAGACAGAACTTACTGAATTGTCCCTTTGATTTTAACAGGAAGGGATGATACAGAGCCTTCCTTAAACAAGGCTGATGCTATACTCAGCGTCACACAAAACACACTGCAGCGAATTTGGAGGCACCCTGAACTTCACAGTTGTCACTTCCAGGCACTGCAGCCATCTGGAAGGCCTGCCATCTCCTACAGCAAGTGCAAGCTGCTACGACTTGCACTGAAAGAAACTTCCATTTCCAAATGTGTGTGTAAGGTCTGAGCTCCCCAAAAGAATTGCTCTGGTCTCTGCCTGGAGCAGACCTGACGCTGGCCACTCCCTGAGGCCAAAACAAGCAACACACCAGGTAACGCTCTCACTCTAAAGATTCAGTTTGGCCTCAGTATTCCTTGTATAATGAAGGTTTTAAATAAGACCAGAAAGTATCTTTTCTGCTTCTCTGTTGCCTTTCCCCCCCCATCAATATATTGAGCCTGTCATGCTAAACGGCCCAGCGGGCTGGTCTCAGCACAGAAAGGTGCTGTGCCTGGGGGCTCTGTGCTGGCAGGGCATGCTGAGCACCCTGGCCCCAGGGACGGGGAGTGCTCTGCATCCCTCTCTGGCCTACGGGCTGCTGGATTCGGTGCTAAGGAGCTCCTGAGGGGGATGTGCTTCCAGCCCTCCTCTGGAGAAGGGCAGGTTGCCATGACAAAGGCCTTTGAGAGAAAGAGGTGTGGGATGGAAAAATAGTATGTGAGAAACCTAGAGGGAAAAATGCAGATGTCAGTTCAGCATTTGCCATCATTTCCCAACACAAAGTCACTGGGATTTGGGACTTTGGTTCATGGGAAACAGTAAAGAGCTACAACTGCCCTGGAATCAGGAGAGGCTGGATGAAGAAAGGAAGCAAATATAAACATGCAGCATACAAAGAGCTCAGGATATGCTGATCTTCATGAAGAAAACTTCCCCACCGCAAGGTGTCCTAACATCACTTCAAACAACCTTTGTTATCAAATGCTGCCAAAGCAGAATCACTGCAAGCAAAGGCACCTTTCCCCTAGGCCTTTTCAGGTCCTTCCCAATGGCCTTAAGAAAGCTTTAATCACCTGGGCCACCTGCCACCATTTCATGGATTGCACAGGCCTTGCTGCAGTAAAAGCAAGCTTGCAATTGCCTCTTCAAAATTATGCTTCTAAAGTTTCTCTGTCCCAGAAGGTCTCAACGAGGTCTGAACTTCTACAGAAGGGAGCAGAAGAAAACAAAAAGAACAGGGACGAGAGGGGAGAGGCAGATCCTACCGCAACGCCAAGTGATAGGCTTAATCCTGTTGTCTCTTCTAGATTTAAGAAACCAAGAAATATGGCATTGGGTAATAAGGGAAGTGTCAAAAACACGGAGTTCTACAATTACCAAGCAATCAGAAAGCTGGGAAATCCCACCGCCCTGAAAGGCAGAGTGAAAGACAGCTTCATTTTCCTGAACTGAATTTTTAACACGTTGTACATAGCAGCCAGTCATCTCCCTCTTTCCCATTTGTTGTAGGGGGTCCATTTCAAAACATCATTTCCTCGCTTCAAATCATGCCTGTCATTACAATCCCAAAGCACTCAGGCTGCACGCACGCTATCCCTTAAAAGCGGTGACTTCTGGGTTGGAAAGGCATCAGCTGTATATAATGGGTATAGCTATTGCCTGCCTCCTCCCTGAACCCTATGAACAGATCTCCCTATTCCCTTTCCCTCTGCAGCTTCTGAGCCTTGGCACAGAGTCAGCTGGCAGTGCCACTTCAGATACAGCTCCCCCGTGTCCCCTCTGCTCTCAGCGCTATGGATCCAGAAGGGACACTGTACTTGTGTGTCCCAGCTCTGAATCCCCCCGCACTCAGGCTCTTCCCCGCAGGGTAAGTTTCTCTCTTCTGCCTCCAGCTTTCCTCTCCAGCTTCATCCTCCCAGCCAGCCCTGCACCCCACGCTTTCCAGCCTGCACCGTACCTGTTGGCAATACTTGCATTGCTACCACTGCCGCTGTGTTTCCTCGCCCGGCTCAGCCTCCGCGTGGGCCTTGGGTCTTGTAGTCCAGGACTTGGAACTGAGGGGAAGGTCGAGGCATAGCCATGTTCGCATTCTGCATGAGAATCAACAGGCAGGGTGTAAAAAAAGAGGATCATTAAAAAAAAAAAAAAAAAAAAAAAAAGGTAGTAGTCAGCAGGCAGGCCTCACCACTAACCCTCCCTTAACCACAACAGCCCAGGGAAATGACTGATGATGTATTCAGAGGGAAGTGGACTGGGAGGTGGAGAAAAGAGAGGAAGGGGAGTGTAAAGGCTCTGCCAACCTTGGAGGAAGGACATCACCACTCAAACACCTGAAAACATCAAAAGAAAACACGACAGCCCAGAGAGCGCCTCGCCTCTCTCCTCCTGCCCAAGCTATCCGAACCAGGCAAACCAGGCGAATTTCACTGTGCCATCGAGTTCTCTGCAAAGCCAGAGCCACCCACCACCATCCTTCCTACCCGCTGGGAAACTTTCACACCAATCCCCACTTTTCCTTCCAGAAAACGCGTTCACCTCGATCTCCCCGCTCTCTGCGGAAGC